GGGGCTGAGCGAGCGCTTTGTCCTATTTCCTCTCTCCTGATTTCCAGGCTGCCCCTCTCCGTTGGGTGGGTGGGGGTCCTTGGGTCTTCTTGTCTTGAGGGCCCTGATGACCCAGGCCCAGCGTTGTGCCCAAACTCTCCCCCTTCCCCTTCCTGTGGCCTCCTCACTGACTGTGTGTATGTGTGTGTGTTGGGGGAGGGAGTTAGATAAATACAGACCGAAAAGCATCCTTTCCTGGCTTTGCTCGACATTCTTCACATGGTGGACCGTGGGGTCCCGCCTGCCTCAGCGTGCCCCATCTGGACAACACAGAGCATCTAGGAGGCCAGGAGATCCTTGAAAGAGCCCCATGTCTTCTGCTCTTGTGGGTATGGGACTTGGAGACTGAAATGGGGTAGATCCCATCTTACAGAGCAGGACACTGAGGCCAACGGAGGCGGCATGGCATTGCCAAGGCCACACATCTCACAGCGGGCAGGGCCAAGACAGCTGGTGAATGACTGTGCTCATTCTTTCATTCCACAAATGTTTTCTGGGCACCCAGACATGCCCACACTGTCACAGCCCCTTTAGATACAACCCTTAACCTCCCACTGAGGGGGCATGATCATCTCCATTTTACAGAAGAGAAATCAAGGCTCAGAGAAGTGGAGGGGCCAGCCCGTGGTCACACAGCGAGGCAGACTTAGAGCTGTGTTTGAGTTCCCAACCTAGCACTCTGCCCACTCCGCAGGGCACTGCCCCCAGGCTGGGGATGGCTCACAACCGATTCCCACCCAGGGCCCTCCACCTGCCAGCCACCTTCCCAGGGCCTCACATTTCGGCAGAGGACAGAGCACACAATGCATGAGCGTGCATAGAGATCATTCCAGATCGGGCCATCTCCTCCATGGAGAGCCGGGTGGTCAGGAAAGTCCCCTTATGGGAGGCGATGTGGAGCTGAGACCAAGATGCAAGAGGCCATGTGAGGCCTGTGGGCAGAGGGCGTCTTGCCTTGCAGCTGAAAGGGCTGGCTGGCGGCCGCGTCCCCGTGCAGCGGGCCCCCGCAGCGGGCCCGGGACCGGCGGGGCGGGGGGCGGGGGGCGGCTGGAGCACATGCTAGGCACTGCAGGGCAGACCGCCAGGCCACGAGGAGACGCGGGCAGTGGCCGATGGTCCCCTCCCCCGGGCCCACCAGGCCCGTAAACACCCCCGGCCACAACCCCCCTGCTTTCCCTCCTCAGCCATCTGCCCCCAATCCCTTGTCTCCTGGCCTGGCCTCTCTGCTGGGCTCCAGAGGCTCGACTCAGGGAGCACTTCACCTGCCCCGGGGCCCCCACGTGCCTCCTGGGCAGGCCCTGCCCCCCTCAGCCCTGGGGCCATGCACTTTCTGTCATACTAACTGTCCACACGCATCTGCCCACTGGTCTGTGCCAGGCCTCCTGGCACATGCTGTTCCTTCTGCTCAAACCTTCTTCCTCCACCTTCTCCCCTGGTGAACGGCGGCAAGACCAAGGTCATTCCCCCATCTGACCCCAAACAGAGCCCAGCCCCCTTCCCCATGTCCCCCCAAGGTCATCCATCACATTTTCCTGGGTCCTGGCCCAGCAGAGCACAGGCCCCATGAGTCCCCAGTGGCTGAGAGGAATGGCCTGGTCCCTCTGTGTTCCAGGGGCTCAAGCGCCTATTGTCCTGCTTCCAGGCCTTCACTCAGCCCTCCCGCACCCCTAGAGATCTCTTCCTCCTCCCCCACCCCCACTCATGCCACCTTTTCCGGGAAGCCTTCCTTGATCCTCCTGCCCACAGACCCAACCAACCAGCCCTTTAGTTTCTCCAGAGATCCCCACTGCAACTGTGGGGTCCGTGCCCTGGCTCCCACTGATGGGCCCGCGCACCAGCCCACGGGCCCACCTACCAGCCACGCGGCATTCAGTGGGCCAGCTGGGGCAGGTGCCGCTCTCCCAGCTTGAAGCACGGCATTCTGCATAACCTAGTCAAGCCCGGGAGGGTCCTGGGCTCCTTCCTCGGGCTGGGCCGGAGTAAGACCAGGTCCTTCCCTTGTACTACTTTACTTACTGTTTGCCTGGCACTGGCAAGCGGCCCCCAGAGCTCAGCAGTAGTAGCCAGGGACTTGCTTCCTTCTGGAGGTATCTCTGGACACAAGCTGAGGATGAACAGCTTCACATGGTCCCTACCCGTCAGGGTGACTCACCTGTAAGAGGTGCGCAGAATGGACACCACAAATGGGACCTCCTGCTGCCTGGGGACACAAGGCATATTCCCAGACTCTGACCAAGGGGCCAACGGGCCATTTAGTGAGCACCTACTATGTGCAGGGCAGTGCAGGACCCCTCATCTAATCCTAACAGCCAAGATGCCCCAGGTGATGAGCTGAGGAAGTGGCTGAGCCAGAACTTGACCCCGGACAAGGCCTCCTGCAGCGGGCTTGCCCATCTGATCTCTGTGGATGAGTGTCCAGGATGGGGAACAAGTTAGACCTGGCCCTGTCCTGGGGGAGCCAGAAACAGATGATCACATGGCCCTGGAAGGAGTTTTCTATGCCTGAGCGAAGGGCTTTGGCCATCTCTGCTGCAAGTCCCCAGCTCCTGCCACGGTAGACTCCCTTGCTTGCTTTCCCTATGGAGCTGTGAGCTTTAGGCGGCTGACAATGGGCACCAGGGCACTGCACACCACCCACAGCATGCCCACCCTGATTGCCCCACAGGAGGGCATGGATGGCAGCCTGGACACTGGGTCCTGGGGCCAGAGGCCTGTTCCCTTCCTGGCTTAGTGAGGGAACCTGTCCTCTATACTCACCATGCCTTCTGAAGCCGAGTGTAGGGTCCCCACCCCAGTCAATTCCCCACTTGGACCCTGGCTGGGTGTCCTACAGGTCAACTCAGTTCTGACGTGAACCACCTGGAGTTAGGTGAAGGGCTCAGTCCCACAAAACTGCCCCCACTGGAGACACTCTTCACGAGTCCTGGCCACCTGTACTTCTAACCAACCAGCTATAAATTGGGGTTCCCATTACCCCCTCCTCAGGTTTGATAATTTGTTAGAACAGCTCACTGTTCTAGCAAAGCACTCAGACCAAGACCCTCCCTGGGCCGGCCTCTGCTGAGGCGCCCCATGTCTTCCTCCCGGCCAGGGGGTGGGGGGCTCTCAGGGTGGAGCCCAGGAGGAGCACGGCCCAGGGGCAGTGAGTCTGAAGGAGCTGGGGGCGCCGGGCCACCACAGCCCCCACGGAAGCTTGGTGCCATCTGAATAAGGTGCCCCTCCCCAGGGCGGCCCGGCCCTGAAGGCCCAGGCTGGACTCCCGCCCTGCTCACCCTCCCGGTGGGAGCCCCGAAGAGGGAAGCAGCCTGCAAAACCCCAGGTGGCAGCTCAGCCCTGGGGCCTGGGCCTGGACGCACACCCACATTAGAGGGAAGTATGGGAGCAGGCGGGCCCCCCCCGGGGGTCTCCTGGGGGACACAGGCTGGAGCAGCAGGGAGGACCCCTGCGGGATTCTGATCCCCCTCCACCACCTCCTGCTATGTGCTCCAGGCCCTTGGCGACCCCGTTTCCCCCGCTGTGAGGGAGGCAGTGCCCCTAGGCCCAGAGCAGTTGGGGAACGCACAGCAGGGGCCGAGTGTCCCAGCCACACCGGGCACTGGAAGGTGCCGCCCCAGTGGATACCATGCAGCTCCTTGCGAGGTGGGGCCAGGAAAATTCTCCCCTGCCCCGAGCCCGCAGCTTTCCTGGGGATCACCCAGGCCCCCACGACAGCCTGGCGATGGTCCCCGAGAGCGAGTCGGTGCTACCCCTGCTGCCCCGGGCAGCCTTGTGGAAACAGGGAGGCCCAGAGTCCTGCCCTGGGACCAACGTGTGCCAGACACACTGATGCTGTGGGCACAGAGGCGCCAGGAGCCTGCCCGCGGGGAGGGCTGCAGGTCGCAGTGGCTGCTGCAGGGACCAGCGGGCGGGCGGCCCCCCAGGGAGCAGGGAGGACGGGAGGGCCGAGCGGAGAGCCCGCCCTCACAGGTCGAGGGCTGTGGCCTCAACAGGGGCTGTCCCATCAGGCCAGGGACGCCCAAGCCCAACCCCCTATGCCCGGTGTCACGCCCGAACGCCTTCCCGAGTGCTGGAGCGGGGTGGAAGAGAGAGGCAGATGTTGCGTGGATCTCATGAGACAAAGCAGGAGGCCAAGATGGCCAGAGCCGTCGTGAGGGGCCGAGGACTGGGGGGTGGGGCTCGAGTCAGGGTTCTGACCGGGGCTGGGGAGCCAGGTCCAAAGAGTGCGTGCAAGGGAGGGGCTGGGGTCACAGGGACAGACAGACACGGGCCCAACCCTGCTGGCCGCCAGCTGTGGCATGGGGGATTTCCGTGTGCTGTCCCGTGTGCGTGGGAATCCCTACCTGAGTCGGGGGCTGATGGGCTGGGTGGGGTGGCCCCTGACCACGCTGGGCAAGCAGATGCACGGACGCAGTGGACCAGCAGAGAAGCAAGGTGGGCCGTTTATTGGAGATTTTGTCACGGACACACGCAGGCCATGGCACCCCAAGCCCAGCCTGGAAACAGCCCCAGGCCCGGTATAGCTGGCAGAGGCCTGGATGTCTGCCTGCTGGGGGGTGGGGGGGGGCAGATGGACCTGCTTGATGCACAGACCCACCTCTCCTGCCTGGGCAGTCTTGGGGCCCTCAGGAGAAGAGCCAGCACTAGGGGTGGGGGAGGGCCAGGTCTGAGGGGGCTCAGGGGAGGTTCCCCAGGCCCCACCGAGTCGTGGCCCTCCCTTGAGCCCATCTTTCCTCTCTCCTGGCTGGGCTGTGACCCCCAGGTCATAGCAACAGGTGCAGAGACCCGGGGCGGGGCGGGGGGGGGGGGGCTGGGCTGGATGGGTGTTGCTCTCTGGGGTCTGGTTAGTGCCAAGCTCCAGCAGAGGGGGCCCTGCTGGCCGGTTCGGGAAGGGGTGAGGCTGCCGTGTCTGGGGCACTCGCAGGAGATGGGGGAGGAAGGGTGGGGACCGACGGAGGGAAGGTGGGGGCCAGGCTGGGCCCCTGTGGCTGCTGGGTCACCCATGCCCGCAGGAACGGGGCCCCAGAGGAGGGCCGCGGGGCTCAGGCCTGTGCCTCCAGGGCGCGCACGTGCACGCTGGGCAGGCAGAACCAGGACGGCGGCAGCTCCTTGCTCGCACTGTCCTGGTGGAAGCGGATGTGGAGGAAGAAGTCGCCCGTGTAGAGGAAGAGCAGGGCTCCCAGGCAGGCCGACCGGCCCGCAGGCTGCACCTGTGGGAAGAGGGGCGGATGTCAGCCCGGAGCAGACGGACCCCCAAAGCCACCAGGAGACCCTTGGACCTGCCTGGACGTGGGGGCAACAGGGGAGAGGAGGGCCCCCTCCAGGGCTTCCCTGCTGTGCCTCCCCAAGCAGGCGGCTGCCCCTCTCTGAGCCTTAGGCTCCTGGCTTCGGAGGGAGCATAGCACTTCCTTTCCTGGGCCATGTGGGGGTTGAGGCAGGCTGGGGAGTGGTTGGGATGAGGCGTCCTTTCAGGTGAATGGGCCGTGAGGGCTGTGCTGTGTGGATGTCACTGGTCCCGCTGGGCCGCGGGCAGCCACCACCAGGCTGGGAGCACTGACTGAGCGGGGCCAGAGGCCGGTGATGGCAGCAGGTCTGACGCTATCCTAGGCCTCCTCCACCCGCCCCGTCTCCTTAACAAGCTTCGGGGTGGTCTCTCCATCCTGGACCACAGCCAGGACTCGGGGGGTCCTGTGGTGAGTCGCATGAACGAGGGTCGGCACAGACAAGTCTGCGCTTGCTACCCACTAAGCCCACGGCCCGGGGGGCGGGGGTCTGGGGACACAGGGCCAATGGCCACGGGGGCTGCGCTGGGGCTCGCAGACCGCCACGCACCGCGTCCAGGTGGAAGGTGCTGGAGCCCACGAAGGAGACGGCGTCGCGCAGGTCATAGTTGTGCACCCCGTTCTGGTGGTCCTGGAAGGGCGCCACAGTGAGGGCGAAGGGCCCCACGCTGCGCGGGCTCCGGTTGGTCAGCCGCACCTCCAGACGCACGGGGTCGCCCACCCGGCAGGCCGCAGCCTCACAGTCACAGGGCTGTCCGTCCACCAGCACATCTGCAAGGGACACAGGACACGACACTGTCAAGGGCACTGCCCAGCTGGCCTTGCGCGCCTGTCTGCCATTCATTCATTCGTTCATTCATTCATTCCCTCACTCCTTCCCACACCACGGCAGCCGCCCCCTCCGTGCAGCCTGGGTGCTGGGCACAGACGCGTGGCCCAGTCCCTGCTGCCCCAATGTGCAGGCTGGAGAAGACAGGTGTGGGCACCAGAGCTGCCCCCAGAGGGTCTGTGCCATGCCGGAGGGGCCCGGGGTCAGCTGGGGTCTCCCATGCTCCTGCCTGAAACGGCTGAGCTGGGGCCACGGCCCACGGTGGAGAGGAAAACCAGGAGAGAGCCTCAGAACCGAAGGCAAGGACGTGGCAGGGGCTGTCCGTGGTACGCCTGGGACCTGGCTGGGCCTCTACCACACACACATGCACAATGGCCCGCCCAGAGTCCCCCAGGGAGGGCTGGGCCATCCTGGGGGCACCACAGAGGTAACAGGATACTAGCTGGGAAAAGGTCTGGAGCCCGAGGAGCAGAGCGGGGATGGGGGGCGCAGAGGGGTGGGGGAGATGGGGGTGGGGGTCGGTAGACTGGAAAGTGCTGTGCTAGGGCTCCCACTCCCCTCAAACCCCCAGGACATCCCCGTAGGATGGTGGGAGGGGAGGTCTGGGGGGCCTGCCTGGAGGCACGGGTGGGATTTGAGAATGACACATGTCCTGGGGAGAGGCAGATGAGGGGAAGCAGACTTGGAGGAGAAGCCACATGAAGACGGAGGCAGAGATTGGAGGCCGAGACGCTGGACGAGCAGGAAGGAGCCTCCCCTGGAGCCTCCGGTGGGGGCACAGCCCAGGTGACACCCAGCCTGCAGACCCGTGAGGGCGCAAATGCCTGCTCTGTGAAGCTCACGGTCTGCGGTCACTTCTTTGGGCGGCCCTACACACCGACATGGCCAGGCAGGAGGTCACCGGCTCACTGACCCGACCGTGGAGGTCAGGGAGGGGGCCCAAGGCTGCGTTGTGACTTTGCATCACTCGCTACTCGCTGTGCAGCCACAAGGGGCCGACCCCAAGCCCTGCCAGCCTGCCTCGGCTGACCTCTACTTGTCGCATCCCCAGGCCGACCGGGGACACCCCCTGACTCGCAGCTGCTGCTTCTGCCACCAGGTGACCGCGGGGAAGTCCCCCCCCCGGCCGCTGGGGGGGCCCTGGAGCCCGTGCAAGGAGGCCGAGGCCCCTCTCAGGGTCCTGGAGGCACAGGTCTGGAGGAAAGTTGGGGGGGTGGCCTGCCTTGGAGGGCAGCGAGGAAAACCCTCCCTGCGCAGAAGGGCTGTCCTCAGAGTGCTTGCGTCTCTTCAGCTGACCTTGCGCAGCCAAGCCAGGGATGGGCGTGAGTGCGCGTACGAGAGATGCATGTGTGTGTGAGCGTATGAGTGTGTGAGAGCACAAGTGTGTGAGAGCACGTGTGTAAGTGGGAGTGTGTGACTGTGCATGTGAGTATGAGTGTGTGAGCACGCGTGTGTGGGAGCGTGCATGTGTGCGAACATGTATGTGCGTGGAGGTGCATGGGAGTACATGTGAGCCTGAGTGGGAGTGTGCGTGCATGTGGACGTGGACAGGGAGGAGGCACACCGGAAACAGGGGGCGGGCAGAGGTGGGAGGCAGTGCACGGGGCCACTGTGTGTGCAGCTGGGTGCGGGTGGGGAGTAACTGCAGGTCCAGAACCACCCACCACGTGTCCCACCAAGTCCATTCTTCCAAGAAAGCCTGAGATCAAGTCTCCCCCCCCATATTCTGTTTCTTCATAGAAAATTTGGAAAGTTCATAGAAATAAAACTAATTTTCTACAATTCCTCCCTACTTCCAGCCCTTTCCCCACATGTCCTCACCGCTGTGGCTTGGTGGCTGGCGCTCTGGGACCATGAGAACAGAAGCATGTTCCACATGTGGACATTTTTGTGAGAATGTTTTCAAAGGCTGCAGGGGATTCCATTAAAGGAATAAACTGTAATTTACCCACCCGAGCCCAGTGAGGTCCTGTCCACTTTTTCAGTATATAAATATCCCCACTGTGCACGTTTTTATACTGAGCTCCATCTGAATTCCTGCCGCGCGTCCTGAGGATCTGGTGTTGCAAACGGAACTACTGGCACGAACGTAAAGTGTCTCTAAGAGGGGCTGATACCAGGGTAGCCTGCCCCTCGCCGCATCCCCACCTCCCCAGGTGGGGAAGCCCCCCGCCCCGCTCCACCTGCCCCACGCTCCCACCTCAGGGGGCAGAGCCTCCACGGGGCGGGGTGTGTGGGCACTGGGCCATCACTGGAATCACTGGATAACATTCATTCATTCCAGCATCCTCCACCGGGCCCTCAACACCTGCTATAGCACCTGCAGCCAAGGTGACAGGGCCGCAGAAGTGCACAAGTGCCGACATGCAGAAAGTTCTCAGTCCCGCATGACCGAGAGGCTGCGGCGACAGGGGTGTGACGGGCGGCCCTCCACTGAGCGCCGGCACGGGCCGGCGGGCAGGGTGGGCCTCGGTCATGTCTGCTGAACGGTGAACGCGACCAGGCACGGTCTAAACCTCTTGAATCAAACGGGGAGAATGGAGAGAGCAGGTGTCAGGGCGCCTCGGTGGCTGGTTCCATTAAGGGAAAGATACGATTATGTGCAAATCAGTGAAGGGTGGCTGGCTCATTACATCTCTGCTCTTTTTTTCCTTGCAGAGAATTGTGTGGGTTGCTCGCTTGCTGGCCTCTGGCTCATCCAGCTCTGCTTGCTCCCACTCCCCGACCCCGCGCGAGGGGGAGGGGAGACAACGCTGTGTACACAGCTCCTGGGGGTCACCTTCCCTTGGCACTCTCTAGAAGGAGCATGGATTTGTGGCCTTGAGGCCAGGCCAGGGCAGCAGGGGTAGTGGACGGGCCCCTGGCTAAGCAGGAAGCTGAGCTAGGGTGTTGACCTGGCCTCCACCCTTCATCCTGGGGGAGGCCTTTGCCAGCCTGAGTCTCCTTCACCTCATCTGCAAAGACGGGATGATGATCCTGGCCTCAGAGGCCTCGGGTAGGCAAGAGGACCAGACAGAGGGCAGAGGACCCAGCCAGGCCTTCCCTGCCCTGGTCTGAGGTGAGTCCTCCCCCTGGACCCCCACATCACTGGCTCTTACTCGGAGCTGGGACTGCTTGCTCCCCAGGGAGAAGGGGGGCGGCCCTCTAGAGGGGCAGGACCCACCTGTCCTGCTACCTGCTGTGTCCTCACGCACAGGGTGACAACGGTCCCAGCTCAGCCTGCCATTAGTGCTGGAAGTCCTGCGTCCAGGAAGCCCTTGGTGCCAGGCAAACGGGGACAGCCGGGCATGCCAGCCCAGGTTCTGGCGCCCATAATGACTGCCCACCAAACTGGAGCATTTCCGTGCTCAGAAAGCAGCCGTTTCCTTCCTTTCTGCAGTCCAGCATCTCAGATCGGGTCCATGGGCCCCAGAACTCCCCACATCACTGGGAGGACACAGCAGAGCGGAGCAGGGGTCCACCGTTCCCTGAGAGAACAACGGGCTTCCTGCATCGAGAAGGATGCCATGGCCAGTGTCTCCTGGGACCCATGGCATGCTGTTTCAGAAATCTGGGGAAAACATGCCTAAGGAGGCTGAGGATGCTGGCCATGCTCAGGCGGGGCTTGGCACCCCATCAGCACTGCCGCCCCAGTGCACCCCCTGCTGTAACTAATTCGCTTCTCTGGCTCTGACCGGGACCAGCTGTGTCCTGTCCTGGGCGGGAGGGCCCCGCTGAGCAAGGCCGGGAGGAGAGGCCTGCGCTGGCCACCAGCGGTTCAGGGAACCCACTAGGAAGGATCTGGGAATGAATAATTAAACACTTCCCAAAGGCAAGCTGTTTGGGAGTCATTCCTGAGGTGCCTGGAGGGAGGAGAGCCACCCGTTAACTGCTTCCCAGTTTGAGTCCCATCTGTGGAGGTCCCTGTGAGGGCTCCGCGGGCCAGCCCCCCACCCTCTAGACAGGGAAGGTGGGTGCCTCGTCCACTCACCCACGGCAAGACCGGGACCCCAACAGTGGTGGTGGGTGAGCTCCTCTGTGTGCTCAGCAGACTGGCCAGCCGGTCCCCAGGCAGGCGGGACACCGGTGAGTGAATGTGTCCCCTAAAGCTGGCACGTCCTGCCCAAGTGTCCCTCACGGCCACCATGGTGCCTCCTTCCTGCGGCAGGGTGGGCTCATTGAGGCCCTCATGGAAGTCTGGGTCTGGTAGCGGCGGTGAGTGGGGCCTAATTTCTCCCCTTGGCCTCCAGGGTCACCTCCTCCATGTCCCCCACGCTGCTGGTGACCTCTCCTGCTTCCCTCTCCAGGCGGGGTGGGGGGGCTCCTGTCATCTGCAGTTTGAGTACTTTCTCCTGCACTCGCCACCACTCACCCTCTCTGAGCCTCAGCTTCCGCTCCTTCAGACGGGAGAGCAGAACACATTTCTGGGGCTTCTGTGAGAATCAGGACCGGGCGGGCCGAGATGGGGGTGCTCAGTGGCCCATTACCGCTGGGACTCACACCCACCCTGGGGAGTCCAGGCCTGCGGGGCAGGGAGGCAGTGGTTGCTCCAGGGCCCTTCTTCAGCCACGGGATGCCTGAGTGCCCGTGGGGATGGGGGCCTCGAGAGCCAGGGGCTGGAAGCAAGTGCCCAAGGAAGAGAGGCAGAGCCGTGGGCTGCAAGGCCTTGGGGAAACGGAGCCCTGGGGGGGGGCAGCCCAGGAGGTGCCCCCCTCCTCAGCCAACCACAGCTGCCCAGGAGCTGTGCACAGGGGACCTCCTCCTGGGGGCTGCTCAGGAGCAGAGAGCAGGACAGACAGAACTCTGGCTCTGGAGGGTCAACATTTTCCCCGAAACCTTCCGGAACCCTGAGTCTGCTTTACCAGCACAGGGGATGGTGAGGTAGACAGAATAATGCTCCCCGAAGGATGTCCACGTCCTCATTCCTGGAACCTGTGGAATACGTCCCCTCCCACGACAAAAG